CACCGGGATCGCGGTGTGCCGGGGCTCTGCGAGGCGAGGTGGCGGCTCCGCCAGCAGTAGCGGAGTTTCCGTGGTGCCTCTGCCCTGTATTTCGTGCGTGTGCTGGGATTCCTCTTCGGTTTTGAAGACAAGAGCATAGAGACTCCTTTCAGTTTTTTGCACCTGCCTGAGCTTCTGGATAGTAAACTGGAAGTGTTCTCTGTCAGTTAGCAGTCTTGATACACTGATTCTTATTCTCTTAACATAGTAAAAATAAAATACACAGTAGAGATGGAGACTAGAACTTAACCCTGAGTTTATGTTTAAAAAAAATCTCTTCAAAAAACATGGTCAACTTACTGAGAATTTCATTTTAGGTATGACCTGCTATTGCTGTTACAAGTCTAAGTTTACTTTAGCTTGTGTACTTTGAGCACTTGACCCGCTTTGCATGTAATCTCATAAGCAAGGGGGAAACTATAATGAAACAGATTGCATATCAAATACTGAAGGAGTGTTTAATAAAACCTTTGTGAAAACATCTTTCTTTTTGAGTAGAAATAAATGAAAATACTTTTATTTCAGTGACTTTAACCACTTAAATTTCAGGTTATGCCCCTTTACTCAGACTTTAGTGCATTCGGATCTTGAATACAGGTGTTGAGGATGTTAACTGGTAAACTGTGAATGTACTGGTAGGGTGCTCTGGGAAACTATTGATCACTCGCTCGTTTTTAGAGAAGCCACTTAAAATAAACCCTCTCAAATAAAAAGAACCTACAGCCAATATGTTTTCCTTACAGTGTATGCCTGTGTGCTCTTTTCTTTTTGTTGGTTTTTTTTTTTTGTTCGGTAGAGCCTGAGATATTTGCAAAAAGCTAACGAGGCACGTTGGAGTCACGCTAACTTGTCCTTCCTCACAGCTTTTCTGTTCATACAGATGGTTTGTTAAGCACAAGAGCCCCCATCTTACACGTTCAACAAGAAAATAAGAACCTACTTGACTTCACGCATCCACTATTAAAGTAGACTTTGGAAGTTTTGTTTTTTCATTTTAGCAGAATGTAACATTATATCTAAAAGTCTCTTGTGGAGCTTGTCATGCCGCTACTGGCACTAAGTGACACACGCTCAAAAGTGCATACCCTCAGTGGTTTGTATTACCAGCTTTCAACTTTGATTTGTGAGTGTACAGAATTACTAATTATTTTAGGGAGGAGACTAAATAAATAGCCTATGACAGTTTGATTCTAGAGAACCTGATAGTGAGGAATGAGGAGAAATAGTCCTTGAATACATTTCTCTTCTCCAGATGGCAGAATAATTTTGTTTCTTTGCTGTCCTTATCAATAAAAGTAGTGCTAAAAGAATCTAGCTCCTATATATCTTTACCAGTGAAATTATGTGATCTCTGTTATCATGTTAATGTTTTTGGTACTTGTCTTGGCCAGAAGACAATATTAAATATTTGTTAAGTCTCAAAACAAACTTTGATTTCTTTAGGAGTGATGGAGAGTTGGTCCAAACACTTTGAGTGTTGGTAACTCTTTAACAATACAGAGCTTGATATCATTTTTCATCTAGTTCTTCTAAATTAACAATTTCACAGGACTGTAAAGTGAGGTTGGAGGGTGATATGTCTATTCCAAACTATAGAGGTATTGTTTAATTGTTTCAGTTAAAAGCTGATTAATTCATTTAATTAATTAATTAAAAGCTGATACCGAAATGAGCTCCTTAAAATACCAAATAACGGTTTGAATGAACGGATGCTTTCACATCTTTTTGTAGATGTCATTAGTTTTACACTTTTTTCAGTTTGATTAAGGACTTAAAATACAGCTGACTGCCGTCAAACTACACTTTTCCTCGCAAGTTGATTTAGGAAAACTAGTTCACTCAAACAATCTGTCTTTCTTTATGATTTAATGCAATGGAGTAGGTCATTGAGAATTGATTTATCTGGACAGTTTCAAAGTGTTTTACTTGCTAGACCATTCAAGCTAGAGCTTCTTGAGTCTTTTCTGGAAGATCTCAGAAACATCTAATGAAAGACAGTTAAATGCATTTTGTCCAAACAGATGTTGACTCTGATTCTGATGCTAGGAAGCAGTGTTTTCTTCACCTCAGTGACTTGCAGGGAGCCTTAAACTTGTAAGAATGAGTACAGATCCAAAGCTACTCCCAAAATGGTTCATTTGCATTTTGCTGCTGTTCTGCTCTACTGGGCTTCATATATACTATTCAATAACCCACCATCTCCACACAGATGCTGGGGTAAGCAGACTGTTAAGGGAATGGGCAGCGAGAGATTCCAAAGGTGAAGATGCTTTTGTTGGTTGTATGATTTTTGAGAAGGTCTTGGGGAGGTGAGCCTGACCCTCTGAGGCAGAGGTGATGCTAGGAACTAGTGTTTCATCTTGAGCACCAAGAAGACGACTGTGTTTAATTGGGCTTAGGAGCTGTTTGAATGAATGTTAGTCATTACGCAATTAACTGTGCAGACAGGTGCTATTTTCTGCATTTTTGTCAGCTGTTTCTTAACATCTGTGCTTTCCAAACTGAGCTTCTGATGATGTGCTTTTGCCCTTTAGATATAGGGGTGCAATAATAAAGCAGGAAACCTTTTATTCTATCTTTAAATATCTGTTATAACTTGATGAAGTTATAATTTAATGAGAAGCTTTAGCTCCTGATATAGTATTCTCCCTGTTAAAATAGTAAGTGTGGTTTTGGGTTGTTGTATATCACAACAGAAGTCAAGCTTGGTATGCCTATTAACTGTTTGGAAATTTGTATCAGAAAAAGGTCTGAAGTCTAGTAAGGAACCTCACTTTGACTGGGACAGATCTTACTTTCGCTGCTAGTTGATTGTATTATCGTAATGCTTAGGGGTCAGCGTCCTGCTGTTTTAAGTGCTGTATAAACACAACATGTAGTTGTCTTCTGTCCTGTAGCTCTTTTTATGATTGTTACTTTCTGTAAGTTTTTTTCTGTTGTTGTTGTTAATAAGGTCTCTCTCATATGTACTTCAGAACTGTTTGGAAATTTGTGTCAGAAAAAGGTCTGAAGTCTAGTAAGGAAAAAAAAAAACCATGCTAAATCCCCTCAAATGGCTTCCACTAAGCGTTCTCCTTATGGAAAGAAGTCTGACTGTCTTGTATTCACATATCCCCTTTCCCCCTGAGATACTTGTGTTTGTCTCATTTCGTTGTTATACTTTAGCGACAGCTGGTGAACTGTTCTTTCTAATTACTAAGATGCTTTAAGAGTGTGAAAGCTTGCTGATGAACAGTTCCCAGCACTTCCAATCAGAATGGTTTCTGAAGAATGCTTTAATTTTTCTTTGACATTACAGGTGCCAGTGAAAGTGTGGGAAAACATATGCTTGAAGCGTGCAACAACAATCTGGAGATGGCTGTCACTATGTTTCTGGATGGTGGAGGCATAGCAGAGGAGCCTAGCACCAGTTCTGCAGGGGTATCTGCTGTTCGACCACATACAGAGTATGTACCTGATGAACGCCTATATAAATGGGTAGTCTGTGTAAAGAACTTAATTGTGAAAGGTAGAACAAATAAAACAATTGTCATTTCTCCTAACCTGCTATCACTTCACTACTTCTTCTTCACACATGCGTCTTTGGTGATCTTGTCTAACTGATTGCTCCGATACTGTTCTTATTTAATAAGTTGTTCTGGTAACTGAAGCACAGGATTTGGAGTCTGGGCAGCTTGCACCTCACTTTGACTGGGACAGATCTTACTTTCACTGCTCGTTGATTGTATTATCATAATGCTTAGGGGTCAGCGTCCTGCTGTTTTAAGTGCTGTATAAACACAACATGTAGTTGTCTTCTGTCCTGTAGCTCTTTTTATGATTGTTACTTTCTGTAAGTTTTTTTTTTTTTTTTGTTAATAAAGGTCTCTCTCACATGTACTTCAGAAGTACTTTCTAGCTTATAATACTGCTTTGGCAGGCAGAGATCAAGACATTAAAGTGGGAACCAGTAGTAAGAGTTTCTTACTTCTAAATTGCCTCAGCAATCTTGACTTATGTTAGCTTGTTAGCTAGAAAGAATTCCATTGTTTTGGTCCTTATAAAACGTGATGGTCTCAGTCCCATTTATAAGGCTTTTCTTTTGTTGTCTTAAATGCAGCTGGATTTGGCCTTGGAAGGGCTAGATTATGTCAACTAATATAGAGAAATAAGCAACTACAAAATCTACATTAGCATCTTGCACATCTGTTCCAATGAAGGACAAAACTGTAGCACTTGGTGGCAGAGAATCTTTCAGTGCTGCTTATTAATCTGTTTGCTTGGGATAAATAGAGTATTTTGAGTGGAAGCTGACTGGTATCAGTCACATTCCTTAAGTGTGCTAAATTAAACTTAGCCAGGCTTTTCCTCTTTATGAAAACCTCCCGTTTCAGGGAAACTTTTAAAGAACCTTCTTGCCACTCGTACTTCTGAAGCACATGTATGAGTTTAAACAGCTCTTTTGATACTAACCATTAAAACCGATGTTAAGTGCCTTCCTGCTTGAACCTTTGGCAGGTAATGAAGTTAAAACTCTGTAGGTATTAGTGCTCTTATTTCTAGACAACTTCTGGCACATCAGTGACTTAAGATTCAAGTTTTTATTGGAATCCTTTCTTTTATACTTGACACCCTCCAGGTGCTGGTCAGCTTAGTGTTACTTCTAGGAAGAGAGAGACATAAATATGCAAATGCAAAATGGAGAATAACTAGCTTCACAACAGCAATCAAAGATGTGGAGGTTAATAGCAAGGTTAGTGCATCTTGCTGACATTATGACATTATGAGAGCCACAAACCACCTACTTTAGACTTTGGAGAGTTTAGGGAAGAGGGCATTTTAGGAGTAGTTGTAGGCAGGATATAGCAGTGAATTTTCCTGGGTGAGCCCATGCCCCCCCCCCCTCCTTTTTTTTTTTTTTTTTTTTTTTTTTTTTTTTTTAGATCCATGGGCTAGGTGACCACACTGAGTATGTGATACTGTTTCATAGCCCTTGTTCTTTTATTTCTTGGAGTTATGATTACAGAATATCTAGCAGTGTCTGCAGCCATAGCTAAACTGCTGATTATGTGAGGGAGTCTAGCTCTGAAAGCAAAGAATTATATCAGGGAAAATGTCCATTGTTGTTCTAGCTTACTTGTTTGTTTATGATCTGTGTGATGGCATTCTACAAAATGGGATATCTTAACAGAAATTCAGTGTAAAAAAATAATATTATATATATTAGCTGTTTTGCTCTCCTTAGGGTAAGGCTTCAGTTGAATCTGAATAGTTCACCCTCCTTCAGAAAAAAAGTATTGGAAAATTGGAGAATCCAGAGGAGAATGAGATTTGGGAAAAGTTAACTTTTTCTTAGAGGATGTTGTTTTCCTTCCTCTGGAAAAGAGAGAGGGCTATGAGTGACAAGTGGAAGGAATAAGTTTTCCAGTGGGAGAAAGCTTGTAATAAGGAGGATACAAATAATTTATTTTCCTCTATGTAAATAATCAGAGGAGGAGGGTTGCCAGAGGATTAATTAGCAGCAAAGAAGTTTAAGAAAGTTACTACAGGAAAAAATTCTGTTTCAATATTAGAATGATAAAGCCTGGGATCTGGTCATCTAGGGATTTGTGTAATCATTTTATTTCAAGGCTTTAAAAGGTCACCCATGCCAGATCTTAATGCAGAGTGTACCAAGTCCTGCCTCAGTGCCATGAATGGGAGTAGATGGTCTTTTGAGGTCCATTTTGACCCAAAGTCTCTGATTCTGTGCAACAGTATAGCAGTGTTCTTAGCTGGTTCAAGTTCCAGGAGCCTTTGGAGTACAATGGGAAGTGGTTTATATAGGCTTGGAACATTATCAGCTCTCTGACTTTTTTTTTTTTTTTTTTTCCTTTTCCTCTTTGTTAGGGATGAAGTGCGAGCTCCAATTCCTCAAAAACAGGAAATTTTAGTAGAGCCTGAGCCTTTGTTTGGAGGTAAGTATATGTTCTTATTCAGTTTTTGCATTTTCTTTAAATGCCCTGAGATGAGCTAAGTGACAAAAGAAAGATGGAACTTTCTGAAAACGAAGAAAGCAGTATATATTTTTGTTCTGTTTTTCCCTGCTACAACTCTGCATCCATGTAACATGATTGCATACTGTTATTAAAGACCTCACACATTAGAGAAGCTATATTCTCAGGGATATCAATTTGCTAACTCTTGTTTCATGAGACTTTGTGAGGCAACAGACGGTTAGCTCTGCTAAATATATACCAATGAGTTAGTAGTGTACTTGGGGTTCAGAACCGTGTGGTACTGCTGTAAAAGTGTTCAAGGTGGGTAGGATAAAAGCTTGAGGTTTGACTGACAAGTGAAAATGGGTAATCCAAAGAGGATAAACACTTGCTTCTCAGGGAGATGGGAGAGATAGGAAGAAGACCTAACCTATATGATTGCTCATCATTTTCTTCATTTCTCCTTTAGGAATTTAGTTTGCTCTTCAAACTGCGTCTTGCAGCTAGTTTTCATGTTTGCTGTATGAAGCTGGTTCTTGCTTTTGCTTTAGAAACATCTTTTGCTCTAATTAAAGAGGTAATGCAAGTGCTTTTGAGTGCTTACCTAATACACTCTCTAGCACTTTTGTAGTGGTACTTCTACAGCAGCATAGGAGTAGAACTTCTGTATCATAGCTGGATTGCCTGGTTCACTGTCCTCTCCTTTTGTATAGTTCCACATCTGTATGGAGATCTAAGGCTCCCTCTGTGATGTTCCTCTAGCCTTATGAGGCTCTGTCCTTATGTTTACCAGGCTGTTTCTAGCTGTCTGTATGGCTTTCATCTGGATTCCAAGTACTACCCTTTTCATCAAGGAAAGGCATGCAAGCACTCATCTTTAAAGCAGCCTCATACCTATAGGAGATGTGCTTTTCTTATTGTTTAATTCCTGTGCTAGAGAGGAGTGTGATGCAAAGCTTCAGATTTAACCTAGAATTGACTTTCTGTTGATCCTTTTGCCAACATTAAAGTGGTCTTTCTCCAGTATGAAAAAGCTTTGAGGTGATTCGAGAGGAAGATCCCCTGCTGAGGGCTCTTTGAAGACACAACACCAGCTTGTTTCTGTTGCTTTCTTTGTGGCCCAGCGGTTTTTGACAAAGGTCTGCAGAATCCGATGGTTTCAAGAACCTGAGAAGTGCAGGAGTAAGATCTGTTGACCCTTTTCTCTTGGTCCTTCTCTACCCACCTGTCACACACTGGTCATAGGCACGCTGTCCCTGAGTGCCATACTAAGGCACGCTGTCCCTGAGTGCCATACTAAGGCAATCTGTAGCTCGGTGGTGACCTCCGAGCTCGGAGGTCTGTAGCTCGGTGGTGACTTTCTCATCAACTAGCGGTAATATTCTCACTAAGGCCACTTCTGTTCATAGCGTGAAGCAGCTGGACAACTCAGCTGAAACTGGAAAGCTGCTCCACTTCTCTTGGTCCTTTCAGCTCTAGCCTCAAGTGGGGGATGTTCCAGTTTCTGGGTGTCACAGCACCACATAAGAATGTTCACATTAGATTGGGGTCTCTTCTAGTTCAGGAGATGACCTTATCCTTCCACCAAAGCCCTCTTGCCCTACAATGAGCAAACATCTACTTGGACAAAACATCTACTGGTGGACTGCTGCGAACATCTTCACCAGCACTGGACCATTGCTCAGCCTGGGAAGGCAAATGTTGCTTTTTCTGAAGTCATCCTTCCAAGCTGCAGTTTAAGTTGCTTTAAAGATGGCTCTAATAGGTTGTGCTTGTGGCTAAGCGTTCAGAGGAGAAAGAGATGTTGCTTACAGGAGTTAGAGGCATTTCACACAGGAACGTTCCTCTTCCAGTTTTGCTTTCATTTATCTTGATACTCTGGACTTCAGAAGAATGCAATGAACAAGAATTGTGTCCCGTTCTTTACGCCCTTAGTGCGAAGCAAGATGAAAGATGCTGCATGCAATATGGTGCAAAACCAGAAAGATCTCTAAAAACAAGTTTTGGAGGTACTTGCTTTCTGAACTGTGCATTGGTCATTCTTTCTCCCAGTAAATAGATTTTTCTTATGGATTTCCGGTGCGTATATGTTCTGTTTCTCTTACTCTGTTTAACTTGTTTAATATTTATCATGTCTTGTAACAATTAAGGCTTGAAAGTACTATTTTAAAATAATTTTTCTTTCAATTAGTAGAAATTCAGAAGAGTAGTCAGATTAAGTTTTGATAGACAATTTTGTTTTGGGCCCCAAGAAGAGCAGTTTTGCTGTACAAACAGGACTTCAGTCCAAGTCATTAGTTGGAAGTGGCAGAGGCCTTTTAGATACTGTGCCCATTACCTGCCTGGGCCACTGTCTCTACCCAGCTGCAGTTAATTTGTTGTAAAGATTTCCTTACAGATAATACCTGGATCTAGTGGAAGAGTCTGGCTGTTGCCAACCCAGCCAAGAATTTGGGACAAGATCTAGATGAGAGATTGGACAGGAGTAGCAATGCACTGTAGGAAGAACAAACGTGTTTCTGTTAACAAGGAAAATTTCCTTCTGCAGGGTTTCATTTTTGGAGGTTTTTATCTACTTGAAGGCCTTTTATAAAAAATCCTGATTGAAATTTTGACAGTTTGATGCTGTGATAGCATTTTTAGTACACACTGATGAGTCTTTGGCGTGCTTGATGAACCCATCAGGGAAGGCTAACTTTAAACTTACATGTATCTTTGATTTATGTTTTGCTTCTGTGGTAAGACTTGCTGGAGGGAGGATGTGATAGAAAAGAAGAGGTCTTATAAACTACCTATTTCCATGCTCCTTCAGGTCTTCGTTCCTCCTTTGTGTATGCTTTGAGTTCTTATTCTGTTGTCCTGCAGATGTGATATGAAGTACTAATGCATAATACTTTTGATAGTATACCTTTAAAATAATTATTGAAATACTTCAAACAGAAACCAGTAAGTATGTGCAGATCGGTATGTTAGAAGTTTTTTTTTTTTTTTTTTTAGTGCAGCTGTGGTTATGTAATTTCCACTGTTGACTGTGACAGGTTTCAGTCATCAAATGGTTTTAAATTGCGCACTGTATAACAAAAGTTATTTTGGAATAACGTTATTAGGCTGCTTATTGTGGTGCCAGTACTGTTTGCTGACATTTCTTTTCCACATGTTTGTGGTTCATCTAAAGTTGAATGTTTATTTTGGGGGGAAAATCTTAGATTTTTCTGGGATGACTGAAGGGAAACTACTCAGTAGTGGACATATGAAGCAGATACTGAAGATGCTGGTCCAAACACTTGCCTGTATTAGCACAGGTGAAACAGTATGCCTGTTCTCTCTGGTCTGGTATGGCAAATACTTTCTTGGTAACTCAAAAAATATATTTTCTGCTCTGGAAGGAATTGAAAAAGAGAGAAGAATCTAAAACCTGTGTGGGAATTGAAGTTCATCCACTGAATTTTTTTTAGATGGCCAGTGGTGTTTCTGGCACTTAGGTTAGGTTTGGGTAGCCCTGGGGCTTTTTCCTTGGCAGCACACAAAGTTCTCATGAATTTAATAGCTGTTTACCACTGTCTATTCATTAATATGCAGACTCTCTAAATGATAAAGCTTTGGCTGTTATTTAAAGCATTAAGTCTCATAGAAGATGATTCTATGACAGATGAAGACCAAATATATCATAGCTGAGTTAGAGTGGTCATGCAGCTGTTACCACTGATGTTCCCATGTAACCATGGACCAGGTTCCTGTGTAGTTAAGTAATGTTTGAATGCCGAACTGAAAATGAGCATCAATAGTTTCTGGTTTTCCCTAACAGGTTTTGTCAGGGTTTTCCAGTAATAAACTAATTACATACTAAAGGCTGATATGTAAATTAAAATTCACAATTTACATAATTGTCACACCCTTAACTTTTTGTCATGATCTCCATTCTGTTGTAAGACATTTAGAGAGGCACAAAACGCAAAACTGTTGTGAAGGTTTATAATGAAACTTTATAATGCTGTACGGTGATGCTTCATAGGTAAATATCGCGCTCTGGCTATCTCTGAAAAAGTGTCCCTGGCCATAAAAGTCTGGATTATTTCCTGGTTCCAAGGCCCAGTACACAGGGATACATTTTTCCCCATGAGCATCCAGTATCTACTCAAAAATGGTTTGTATGCTATGACCATTGTTAGCTATTTCACGACTGGAAAGCTTTTGGGTCGTGTGATTGTTATTCCTCATTTTAACTGACTTGGATTCATACAGATGCACTGATGAAGTGCATTTTATGTAAGCAATTGTTGTGATTTACTCCTATTGCATATGGTCATGTGTATGTAGGTAGGAAATGTGTTCTGCATCGTTTTGAATGGAAGTGATACCACTGACAGAAACCTGCTCAAAATATGGTACTTAGTGTAAAGGTCTGAAAACCTGCTCACCTGTGAGAGATGGTGGTATCCTGAGTCAACTGTGGGAAGATTAGATATTTAATATACACTTCTGAAGATGTTTCTTCACATAAAGTAAATATTTTTGTTCTTTTTAAGGAATTACCTTAAGGTCAGGAGATAGAAACACCAATAGAGGAATATTCCGAATAAAGATTATGATGTTACAATCTAGCTCTAAGTTGCCCCTTTTGAAAGTGTTACTTAGGAAAAGTCAATTGTTTTCTTCATTCATTTGTTTGCGAGTACTGGTATATGACCACCTCCGCTGATATTCACGTTTCATAAGAAAATGTTAAAGTGAAATAAATGCCCACTGCTTGAGAGAAAATGGAACAAGCAGGGTGCTTTCAAGGACCTGCTTGATAAGCTCAAGCCTGATCTTATTAACAGTTCATTTTGTTCATTGTGGTCCAACCTTATGACTCTCGTGCTGAATTTTTGTGTACAAGGGTATAGCCAATAATAAATGTACTTCTGAGTATTTTGTCTAATTCAACTTCCTTTCCTCCTGGGGCTATGCAGTTCGACAGGAACAGGAGCTACGAAATGGAGGGGCAGTAGATAAGAAACTCACTACTCTGGCAGACCTCTTCAGGCCTCCCATTGATCTGATGCACAAAGGCAGCTTTGAAACGGTAAGTCTGTAACTTCTGCTGAAGTTACTTATGTGTGTACAGAATGAAAGCCCTGTATTAGGCCATTGGCTGATGGATCCATTTATAGAGTGATCGTATAATAAGTTACAAGGAACCATTTAATGATAAATACTTGTCTGACGCACCGCATGTTGATGACTTGGGAAGGATTTAACTAAAGGTGATGGACCACTTTTATTGTTATGTTTAAATGTCAGTGTGACTAATTGCACTTGGTCAAAGACTTCTGTGCAAAAATGAAGCTGGTCAAAATGGAAAAATTGTATCACTTGAAGTATGTCTGTAAAGCGTGGTATAGAAATAGCTGAAGTAAAACTGCTTTTGATAGATGAACAAGTACGTTACAGTTACAAGGGGCACCATAGTTTGCAGCGCAGCCCTGCTACGAAGCTCTCGGGCAGAGCTATGCTGACATGGCTAAACAGTTTCTGATACCTGACCTAGTACAGAAATGTATCTGTACATGAGCTTTATATTCAGTAGAGGTCTTGTTCTTGTACAAAATCACGGTGGCTGTCTTTCGCACCTGGTAGCGATGGATAAAATATCCACGAGATTGTCTCCCTGAGAAAGGCACTGTTAGCTTTAAATAATTTCGGGTGTCACCTTTTCTATCTGTGTAGGCATTCGTGAGTCTAGTCATAAGTTATGATTTGGATCCAGTTACCTAACTCACAATTAGACATTATAAAAATCAATATATCTTTTCATTGTTTTTAGTTTATAACTTCCAGTTATTCTTACTTCAGAACTTGAAGCAAGTACTGAACTTTCACCTGGCTCACTTGAGTAGTTAAATATTAGAGATGATTTTATGAGAGTGCAAACTACTGCTCAAATGATGCACCACAGATGCTGCAAACAGTGATGGAGATCTGACTCCATGAGCTGAATGAAAATATTATCTGGTCTTGGGAAAGACTTCATTCTTTTTGTGTGCAGAGTCTAGTAAAGTTGATTCTAAACTTATGAAATATTTTCTTCTAATACTACGCTCACATAGTAGAGCACTGCTGGGGAACTTCTGCAGAAATAATACCTTTATTGAGTCTCCAGCTCACATCCTTTTGGCCTCATTTCTGTTTTTCAGATAGCCAACAATCAGTGTCCTGTGTTCTGATAGTGTCTTCCGTATGTTTCCTTTTCCAACAAAATTCCAGATTTGAAAGGGTGCTGACAGAGAATAGCGCTGTCTATCTCAACAAGTAATCTGGTGCAATAGAAGCAGATTGGTAGATTGAAGAAGCTGGTGCTGAGGCATCTGCATGATGATGTGTGGTTCAGGGTTTACTTCAAGGAAGATTGTATTTGGTCCCCTGACTGAATATCCCCACCAGACCTGTGGTTCAGAGCTGTCTGTGAAGCAAACAAATGCTGTGAACCAAACAAATGCATAGTTAAGAGGAAATAGTAAGGGGAGTTCACTGAAAAACAGCCACTGCTGCCCCAGACAAATGTATGCACAACTAGCAAGTGCCCTCTTATCTCTGCTGTGGAATTTGAGATCCATTCTGGTCTTCCATCGTGCCTTACTGAAAATGTCAAGACATTAGCAGTGTTGATAGGGCAATGTATGATTCTGCCATAGCCAAAAACAGTTTCAGCATGTGAAATAACTGATTGATGGATGTGACTGTTCAAAAGTTTCTACTTTCTTATTTAGTCTGGTTAATTAAGAAAAAAAATCCATTTGTATGTATATACTTTGTCCTGCTTTTTGCAGTAACTCAGATTGAGATGTATGCTTTCTGGTATCGGCATTCACCTTTTTACATTCTTACACAATTCCTCGTCCTATGGAATACCCTTGATTTCAAAGTGATGGTCCTCAATTTCCTTACAATAAAAATCTTCAGCTTCTCAATTTGTTGACCATTCTCTCTTTCATTTTTTCCATTTATGACTGTGCTGCAGTACTACTCTACAGTTTAGGACAGTGTCTGACCCGCTGTGAACCTAGTGATCAATCTTCCTCAAAATTCACCTCTAGCAAACTTCTTTTAGCTCTGCAACTTACTCTGCTTCTTTCTTCACTGTACACTTTGATAAACCTATATAAGCTAGGTAATAAACCAGAGATGTGTACTGTGTTCCAAAGTCATTTTGATGCTCTCATGTTTTCATGTAAACCTAGGCATTCTGGGTTTTTTTTTTTTTTTGTGATATGTGGTATATTCTAAGCCCTCTGGAGGGATGTGCAAGAACATTCTACCAACACTGTGCCATACACATTTATGACTTCATTCAAACTTAGCAAGTATCTGGTCATACTAAGGTTGCCTGTATCTTTGTTGCTCTTTCTGTTACTCCTGACTGAGTTATTTAAATTTGATCTTCATCTTAAGTAGATTCAGTTACCTTTTGTTTTCTGCCAAGAAAACTCAGTTACTTTCAAATACAAACAAATATTATTAACAGGAAAATGTAAAATGTTGTGGTTTCATTTTAGCTCTGTAATTCTAGCTTTTAAGAGTAGATGAGAATTAACTTTCCTTGAAGAGACATTTTCAAGTGTTGAATGAGCATTGATTTTTAACTTATAATCCAGCAATGAATAGTGTGCTTCACATACAGCGCAACTTAGGATCATTATACTTGTAAAGCTAAGTCTATGTTTAACTTAATTACACTGTGGAAAGTGTTGATGTAGAAAAGATTTGAGGCAGAAAATCTATAAAAGATTTTATTTTAATTCTGCAGGTCTTATGAACATGATGAGTGAGCCACTGGATATTAGTTATCATTAGTTAGTAGCTAGTAGACTTGTGGAACAGGGCTACATAAACCAGAGGCAAATGACTAATGTGCTAGCAAGATGTTATCCAAAAACATCCTTTTCTCCTGCTAGAAAATTTCAGAGAAACTTTCGGAGCTTAAATATGCAGTGTCACCAAAAAGTCTGTATTTGGGGAGTGTTAAATGGTTATATAATTACAGAATAATATATGTAATATAATAATTGTAGATGTTTTTCTTTTCATACTTAATGTTGTACGATGTGATTTAATTCATGGAGGGTACCTACCAGACTGACTTAGTTTAGTGCATTTCTGTTTTGGGGAGCAGATAGTTCTAGTGCACCTAGTTCCATACTTTAACATTCACTACAATTTCAGTACTACTTTGAAGTAATTATGTGTAGTGTTGCTGAGTTTCAAGTCTTGCATCTATATGAAGTTTCTTCGTTTTACAAGCTAAATGTTTTGTAGCTGCTCCCCGCTTTACAGCTGATTGTGAATATTTTCTTTGTGTGTAGCAAGCAGTAATAGTTTGGAAGTGAATCTAGTCTTTATACTTGAGTGATGCTATTATCTTTGCATTAGGTGCTTCTAGACTGACCATTTGTACAAGCATAACCACTAGATGAACCAGCGGCCCAGGAACGGCTGGTTGATGAAAGAATGTGTTGCCCTGTTCTTCTGTGCTGGCCCAGGCAAGAAGTGCAAGCCTAGCACAGACAGGTTATCTCCTGTTCAAAAGTGGACCTCTTGCTCTGACTTTCTGTAACTGCTGTCTTCCAAACTGAACTGTGCTTGACTAGCAAATGTCTAGAAGGTCATAAGATGCTGGTTCCGCTAACTTGTTTCTCTCTGTTTACTGCAGGGAGCAATGCATTTCAACCAAGCTGAACAAGGAAGAACTGGCGCAAATATTTCCTTTTGTTTAAGGAGGATAACCTCTAGGGAATAGCCAAAAATTGCGCTTAGGGTTTTTTTTCCTGGAGTAGGACTCCTTGGCCTAAGAATGACACAGCTGAAGGGGAGATAGAATAGAAATTTGTAAGTCATGTGTGTTGCAGAAAAGTCAAATGAGAGAATAGAATGTGTTATTTAGGGTAGTAGGAGAGCTTGAGGTTATCCAGTGAAAGTCAGTAGCAAGTGTAAAAGGAGACTTCTTTCACATGTTGTCTAATCAGATTGTTGGTTTGTTGCAGTAGTGAGAAAGAATATGAATGGATAACAAGGAGAAAGATAAATTTATGGGAGACAGGTCTTTTTTGTGTCTGGCCCATTGTATCTAATGACCACTACCTCTATCTCTGGAAGTCCCTACCCTGCTGATTGCTGAAGGCTTGTACGGGAATGCTTGCGAGGAATGGTTGTTTTGTACTTGTTGTTTTCTTGTGCTTTTTGATAAGTGTTTGCTGATGGCTCTGATATCTCAAAGGAGGAGGAGAAATGAGAGGGTGGGAACTGATGTTGGAAACAGCAGGACTGAAGCCAGTAGACGCAGTCTTCAGTATATTCAAACCAGCACTTGAGCCCTGCGTTGTTATTTTCGTCACTTATCAAAATGAACCACCAATATAACCCACAATATTCCTTCCCTTTGCACTCTTAGCCTTCTTCCCTTCTTGCATCCCCTGCAAAAAATAATCAGCGGCTGTATAACAGCATGGTTGTATATGTGCGTTAGATGGCAGCAGTTTAACTGTGTCCTTTTAAATGTAGAATGTGAAGCCTGTTGTTTTTAGAAGGAAGTTAAAAGTGGTTTTAAGAGCTGTACCTGCTTTATGTGCAAAAACTCATCTTTGTAAATGTTCTGTGTGGATTTTCTGCTTGTATCCCTTAAAGAGAACATGAGCTAGACAGAGGAGAGGTAGTCAGCTTTTCGCTAGTGTTGAGGAATGCACTAAGTATAGAAGAATGAGATGCACTTTCCAGCTTTGCTAGTAGTGCATAATAATGATAGAAAATGGTATCATAGGTACAGTGGCCTTTTTTTTTTTTTTTTTTTTTTTTTACTTTTTCAAGTTTGTTCTTTTAATCCAGTATGGATTAAGTTAGACTACAAGACTAAGGCAGTCTGATAGACTTAAGGCATTTGTTGATATATGTTCCCTTTCATCTTGGGCAGTACCTCTAGGCCTGTTCTTAAACTGGTTGCCTAAAATTACTTCTCAAAAGCCACAATTAGCTCAAAACACTCTTTTAAATAAAAGCCTAATAAGTATATTTAAAACCCTTATCAGTTGTTTAGGTGCCCTCCACCCCACTTATCCCTTCTGTTAACAAAATACTGGATTCTGAGACTGGAGTGTTAGTGATAAGAAGTTAGTATGAAGTCATTTTTGGGATCAATATGACTATTCCACACTTTCTGCCCTGATTTTTTCTGTAAGATTCTTTTCTGTGAGTAAAATAAAAATAGGCTCTGCAGGCCATTTGGTCATACAGAGTAATTTTGTAGACTGAGATCCTGTGATGAAAGAGCAAGCTTATACTTTAATACCTACAAATTTAACTAGAGTATTGACGTTCTACCAAGCTAAGTATATGGGGTTCACACGTCTCAGTGTCTGTGTCAGATAGACTGACTATTCAAAGGGGCACAGGCTAAAATTCACTTTAAAAGTGAAAACTTTGGTTTGGGGTACAAAATACTGTCAAAAGCAGCGAAATCTTGTGCAAAATCCTAATTCCTCGGATTTGCTGTTAAGGACATTACAAGCAAGGTGGTGAACACACTTATAAATAATTTTTTTCCTTTTTCTTTTTTTTGGGACATTCATATGCTAGTTCCAGTCTCTCCAGGTGGTAAGAGCATTCTTTCTGTTGATATAGCCCTCTTTTTTTCAACAGGTATGACAATTCAGCGATCAGAATTACATTCTTGATCAAACTCCTACCATTAACCAACCAATCAGACAATGCCAGCTTTGTGACTCAAACCAGTAAGATTTCTTCCTGCGCCTTCCCATCTTCCTCCTCACTTACAGTCCGGATAACAAGCATCAAAAAGGGATGCCTAATTTTTCAGGTGCCCAGTAATAGAGAGAGGAGAAAAAAAAAAAAAAAAAAAAGGAAAGAACATACAGAGAGGGGGACCTCCTGTTGTATTTATGCAAGTTCGCCATCAGTTATGCCCTCCTATTTAAATAGAACAAGATCCACAGGTTTATCTTGAGAGTGAGCAGGTCTTTCCTCTGTTGTCAAATCAGTGTGATTGACTACACTCTGCCCTGAACAAATACTTAATTCACAGTCTTTTTGTTTGTTTGTTTTTCCCCCTGCTCCTAAAGTTGCTTTTCCCACTCTGTGCTTGGCTTGTTGAAATCCAGCAGCTCTGTTCATCGGTGTGATTCTGTAATTCAACCAATCTCATTTAAGCAGGTCTTTCAGCCCTGCCTTCTGTTTTGTGGATGCCTTTTTGCTAGTTCTATCCATCTTTTTCACTGTGAAGGGGTTTTAGTGAAAAATCTGACAGTGTTAGAAGCCATCACTGATCATTGCTGGCATTGTTTATGTCTAGCTCTTCAGTTTTGGCTAATGAAGCTTTTCTCTCTGCTTACAGGCCAAGGAGTGTGGTCAGATGCAGAACAAATGGCTCATGATAAACATTCAGAACGTGCAAGATTTTGCATGTCAGTGTCTCAACCGCGATGTGTGGAGCAATGAGGCTGTGAAGAACATAATCCGGGAACATTTCATTTTTTGGCAGGTGGGAAATGTAATGGGGCCATACTAGTAACTTGATGTCCTGGTAGATGGGTTGATGAAAACAGAATTCTTGGAATAAAATGGCTGTGTTGGTGTTCTTGTAGAGAGCTTCCGAAGTGGTGGCCCTTGTAGTTCAAGGATATGCATTTTGATGCTTAAACAACCTTTCATTTGTGGGTTCAAAATATTATCGCTTGACCTCTAATACATGAACTGTTAGAGATTTATACTGTGCTTGTAGGAGTTATGGAAAACTGAATGTACCACTTGTAGGTTCTACTGTAAAACAGAGAGAAACTTTGTAGATTTTCAAGATATAGTTTGTGTTCCCTCTGCCCCTGCCCAGTAACTTACTTCCAATGTGATACTCTGTAGGTATACCATGACAGTGAGGAAGGACAGAGGTACATACAGTTTTATAAATTGGCAGACTTCCCTTATGTCTCCATCCTGGACCCCAGAACAGGTAAGATAAGTTACAGTTATCTGCAGTTTATATATCCTGTAAGAAGGACTGGCAGTTACAGGCTAGAATACTGTCTTTGGCAGTGTGTGTTAGACAGCAACTGAAGCATCTCAGTTACCTTGTTCATTCTGTGAGAGACCACGGTGTTGCTGAAGAAGTGAAACAATATCCTTTGGAAGAACTAAAGGAATGAAACTCCTAAGGTTTGCTCAAATTATGTGTGTGTTTGATTATGGGACTTTGTTTAGCTTACCAAATATTTTGTTTAGGAAATGAAATGAGTACCGCCTAGTGGTAAAACTGTGAATTGAAATTTATTGATGCTTCCCTTGGAACACTGACATGGCTGTAAGTGTAAAAGCTCTTAAAAGCTACTTGAAATCATGTAATGAATGAGCTAATATTAAAACCAAATGAATACAAGTCTGCTTCCTGTCCCTGGCACAATAGCTTTGTGAGGCTCAGAGATAACTCATTAAATTGTATCTTAATTTTGAAATGCCAGTTTGGCTTTTGGTTTTGTCTTTTTTTTTTTTTTTTTAAACTGAACAATCAAACTTCTTCGTTCACCTCCAGGTCTTTGGAAATCATAACTTTTTTTTTCTGTATCCCAACAGCCTTGTCTCTTTTATCATCATGTAATCTACTATATTAGCAATCTAGTCTCCTGCTTCTCAGCACTGAAATGATCACGTTCTTTGATGCAAAACCCCCAGAAACTAAACTAGTTCTTTGAAACTGAAGTTAGGGTATTCTTCTTAACTCTTTACATTATGGAAACAAATGCTGTCTACTAAGATGTAGAATCAAAGCAGGGCAGACGAAAATGTAGAAATTCTTCTTCATAAATTTAATTGCTTTATGTTTGTTTATTTTTTAATTGTGATGTGTAATTTACCATTCTGCACACACATTCCCATGAATATAGAAAAATGATGATAACTGTATTAAAGCAGGTCTGTCTTTGTGGCTCTACATGAGTGAAACCTTTTCAAGGCAGTGAAGGGAGGAAATGTAATTATCAGGAGGTGGCCTGTATGAAGCTGAAGTTCCACAAATGTGGACTCTTGCACAGTGTGTACACAGCAGTGAATTTGTTTGTTTGTTCGACAGCTAAGCTGCAATCTTTGGAGGGCTGTTGCTGAAGTTATGTTCCATGATGCCTTATGTTCCCTAGGCCAGAAACTAGTGGAGTGGCACCAGCTAGATGTAACTTCTTTCTTGGACCAAGTGACTGGGTTCCTGAGTGAGCATGGACAACTGGATGGGCATTCTACTAGCCCTCCCCAAAAATGTTCTCGTTCTGTAAGTATGAGGACTGGAGAAACTTGAAGGAAAGTCTAGCGTGCCTATTTGCAGTTGTACTGATTTCCCATTTGCTGGTATAAACAGACATAATGAATTAGAGCAAGAGTATACAAAAACAAAAAGATGATGCATCAGAGAACACTTTCTCCCTTGATGATTATTTTTGTTGTAAAAATTGTGCTCAGTATTTGTTTTGAATTTAGCAGTCACAGAATTGTACCTGTGTAGAATGAAAGAATACTACTGAAAAATATCACTCCATGTGACACTGCAAGGACAAATCCTTAAGCACTGGTTGCATGACTGGGCTTCCATGCCACTTATTCCTGAAAGCTTTAATAGCTTCCCTTTGGAACACTTTGATATGGATATGTGTCTAAAAGCATTCTTCTTACACCTTTGTGTTATGCCTGCGTTCAACAGGAGAGTCTCATTGATGCCAGTGAGGACAGCCAGTTGGAAGCTGCTATCAGAGCCTCATTACAGGAGACGCATTTTGATTCCTCACAGGCCAAGCAGGAAAGTCGGTCAGATGAGGAGTCTGAATCGGAGCTTTTTTCTGGAAGTGAAGAGTTTATTTCTGTTTGCGGATCTGAGGAGGAGGAGGAATCGGAGAATCCTGCCAAGTTGAGGAAGTCTCCACACAAGGACTTGGGGTATAAAAAAGAGGAGAGTCGGAGGCCTCAGCCTGAGCCCCCTGCAAGGACAGAGCCTGGAACAACACCAAATCACAGAGTACTGCCCTGCATTGATGCAGGGATATTGGAGGAGTCAACTGACAAGCCTGAAAGTACATTACAGGGCCTAGATGTGAATGGTAAGTTGTCACAGTTTTTTATAGTGACTTGCAAGTGTTTTGCTCTTTTTCTGAAAGTCTTCATAGACTGACAATTGTGGTTTCAGTCCTGGTTTTGAAGAACTAAATCTTGTCTTCTGTCTTCCTCTTTCCTTGAAGCTAAACATTTGGATGGGTCACTCTGCCTACAGCAGCACTTGGATGTGATGCAAACTGCACAGTCATGTTAGTCCCTGAGCTCAAGTTTCTTAGTTTAAGACCTTGTCTGAGAGAAATGTCCATTGGTGTAATACAGGTGCCTATGATGTGGCTTCTGCCGGTGTCATAGAGTGAAACAGAGTAACATCAGTTCTACCTCATGCTCCATTAGTTTGGCTGCCTTGAGGGTCTGGACTGAGTTTTAACAGTGCAAAATTGTGCTAATATTAACAAGTGCTAGGAGTCTCTGTTCCTCCCAGCAGTCTGAGTCAGGATGTAGCTGAGTAAGGTGGTCTCAAAGGCAAAGGGTAGCACCATGTGCTTTTTTCTGGGAACGCTGACATATGTCAGTCACTACAGAATCACAGAATCATTTAGGTTGGAAGGGACCTCTGGAGATCATCTAGTCCAACCTCCCTGCTCCAGCAGGGTCACCTAGAGCATATTTCCCAGGATCTCATCCGGACGGGTTTTGAATATCTCCAGGGAGGGAGACTCCACTACCTCTCTGGGCAACCTGTTCCAATGCTCAGTCACCCTCACAGTCAAGAAGTTTTTTCTCAGGTTCAGATGGAACTTCCTGTGGTTCAGTTTGTGCCCGTTGCCTCTTGTCCTGTTGCTGGGCACCACGGAGAAGAGGCTGGCCTCATCCTCTTGACACTCCCCCTTCAGATACTTGTACACGTTGATGAGATCGCCTCTCAATCTTCTCTTCTCCAGGCTGAACAGGCCCAGCTCTTGCAGTCTTTCTTCCGAGGAGAGGTGCTCCAGCCCTCTAATCATCTTTAATCATCTACTGCTAACTCTTTCAAAAGTCCTGAGTTTGCATATATTTGAATCACATGCAGTAGAAGTATCACTTCATAGACTGAAATCTTGTGCACAGAAAAACTTTGTATTTGTTTCCAATCGCTAACTCTACCGTCCTATGCAGTTAAGTGTACTACCTAAAATCTACAGAAGAGCTCAGTTCAGCTGCCTTGTTGTTTAACTTGTTGTAACTTCCTTTATGCTAGGACCAAAGGCACAGCTGATGCTACGGTATCCAGATGGAAAGAGGGAACAAATTTCACTACCCGAACAAGCTAAACTTCTGGTAAGTGGAGTTAATTGGAATCCTTGTTTGAGTACAGGAGAGCTGAAACTAGAGAATTTCTTGTCCTGTGCTGGCACTATTAAAATTGTATCCAGTGAAAGTGGTATATCCAGGGAGTGCTTGCACTCGTTCTGTTGTTTTTTTTTGTGTTCTTGCTCTCTTCTGATCAACAGACTCTGCTGGTTCTTGTATGTTTCCATTACTAGTTGGGTTGCGTGAGTATTCCGGTGACTTCCTTAGTCCCCAAACAGCTAGTTTCCTTTCTAAAATAACTTGAAATACCTTTTGCATTAATCATCAAATACCTTAAAATACTCTCAGTTCACTTGTTTGTTTGTCTCTAAAGGAAGAAGTTAAGTCATTGTCCATGGTCAGACAATGGTGAAATCAAAAGGCAAAACTTCTGGTTCTTGTTCTCCATGTCTTTCACCATACTTCCACACTCCCTCCTGGACATGGATGACAGGGTAAACTTCAGAGAAAGTTCTCCCAAAACCAAATTGTTACAGCATCATTTAATCACTCTGTTCCAAGTGTCCTTCTGAGTGATTGCTCAGGCTTGTTTATGTTGGAGAGGTTCACATTGATGGTGTTTCCATTAAAAGTCCACAGGAGTACACCTGGAAGCTTTACAGTGTTTAAAGAGACCACTGTAGTCCTGTTAGCTGTAAGTTTTCACGAGACGGTGGCCAGTAAAGTTCAGCTTTGTACTGAAGTCTTAGGTGAAACAAAAAACAACAACAACAACAAAAAAAACAAAAGCGTGCCTCTTCGGAAGGACCTTGCAGAGATGTAGAAGGAACTTAAGTGAAAATGTTTGGTTACGTCTCTTAAAGAAAATGAGACTGTAATCCATTCTGCCACGCTCAAGAGAGATACTTTGTCTCAAGCTCGTGTTCCCATTCTTACTCTTTTGCATGAAAGATTTTTTTAGAAATGTTGCTGCTGTTGCACTGTCAGCTCCTTTAAAACCAAGCATAAGTCCATAGCATATAGGCTGCATGAAGTGCCGGATGCAGGGTCCCAAGGCTGGAGTGCAAGTGCTGAAATGAAGACTGAGGGACACTAAGAGCAATACTCCATCATTGTGGGAACCAGTTTTACTTTGTCAGACTTTCATTTTTGCTTTGTCTTAGCAGTCATTTGTATATAATCTTTTCAAGTGTGCTTTTAGATCTTGCCTGTTTTTTGAAAGGTCTGTTAAAGTTCCAAAGCAAACACAACTGTAGTTGTATTATTAAACATATATATAACTTTTGAAATGTTTTAAGTTATGGTTGCATATGTAACCAACTTGTTTGTCCACAAGTCCATGGTCCGTGATTACAGAATGAATTTATTTGAAATATAACACTGATATATTTCTGATAATCCTGGACTTGTCTCCTTTTATGGACTGTGGTAGTTCACTGTTTAATGGAGTTAATCTCAGTATATGAATTCTTTTTTTTGTCCACTATATAGTTAGTTCTCTTAGAATTTAGGTAGGACAAGATTTGTAGGTGCAGATAGGTTTTCCTTGTAGAGTTGAACAGGCAGCTTTTGTGCTCTCATATCTAAAAGATGTGGTGAGCCTCATCTGCTTTTTATTTATTTATTTATTTATTTTTAAGCCATTTCAGACGGATCAAGATTGAGTCTCATACGTTTCTTCATAGGCATCATATCTCTGCTGATTTTTTCAGCCCTTAGTCGCTTCCATTTTAAAGCTGTCCAGAACTATAGCAAGAAATTGTCTAAGGAGACAGTTGCACATTGGAAGTTTTAACTTATGATAATAAGTTGTTCTCCCATCAGTACTGAATGTTTTTGAAAACAAGCTTTCTATCATTACACTCTTACTGATCAAGAATGGCTTTTTTACACGCTATTATCTCCAGGATATGCTTATGATTCAAATATTACTTGTCACCCTTTTCTACCCTGGCAAGAAACTAGAGTGATGAGAGAAAAAAGGCAAAAAATCCAACCCCTCGCATCTCTGTTTGGTTCCACTTAAGAGTTGGAATTATACCTATGTCTTCCTTTCTGAATCCTCTTAGCTTGTAAAGCAAAACTGCTTTTTCATAAAGTCATTGCTATTGGTACATAATAAATAGTTGATTTCACTCTGTTTAGCGGCTCAGGCCTGCAGCTGATTGGCTACCTGAGTAAATTATTTACCAAATGTTAAAAAGTGTGTAGGAAGGGTTGGCCTTAAAATTGAACAGAGATGTGGGCAGTGAACTTTACTGATTTTTTTTTTTTTTTTAAATACAGTGGTCTGTAAGGAATTGCAGTTACCCTTGTAGCTTGAAAAAAGAAGCGAAATCTGCTTACTTACATTAATTGCCAGACATAGGCTTTGGCAATCTGCAAAACCTGGTGGAGAGCTGTCCAAGTTAAAGAGGTAGTTGGGGTGACAGTCTCCTCATCCCAAAGGTTTTTGTGTACATTCTGATGAATTTGGAAGAAGTCTCTGTGCAGTTACCTTGCTATCTGTTCTGCAGTCATCGAATCATAGAGAATTCCAAGTTGGAAAGGATCCCCAGAGATCTTCTGATCCAACCTTCTGTTGAAAGCATGGCCATAGATGAGGTTATCCAGGGCCCTGTCAAGCTGAGTATAGAATACTTCCAACAAGTGACGTTCCACCACTTCTCAGGGCAACCTATTCCAACATTAAATTGCTTTCACAGTGAATAATTTTTTTTCTTATGTCTAGGCTTTGCTGTGGTATCAGCAGTCAGGTAACTCTATGAAGCACCCTCAGATGTAACTTGTCAGGTTCCATAGGCTTATGTATATATCCAGTTTATACAGATAGCCCCTAACTCAATGCTCTTCTACTGATGGCTTGCCATTGCTTTTTGGCATGGAGATTTTGACTGTGAAGACTAAGATGAAGATGGCCTCAAGTGGTACATCAACCTCTTATGTCATTTGTGATGTAACTTGCCAGGTCCACTCAGCAGCGGACCTGCATCTTCCTTGTACTTTCACTTGCTGCGAACATACCTGTAGAAGCCTTTCTTGTTACTCCTGACATCTCTTCCCAATTTGAGCTCCAGCTGAGTTTTTGCCTTCCTAACTGCATGTCCAAGCAGTATTTCTGTATTAATATATTTGGGAGTCTGTCCCCTTCTCCATTTCTCATGCTTCGTTTTTGCGTTTGAGCTCTCTTAATAACTTACTGTCTAAACAAACTGTTATGCCTGCTTCTTTTTCCACTCTGGGAGATGAACTGCTTTTGTACTTTGAGAAGGCTGTTTCTGAATATCTCCCAGCACTCCTGGACTCCTTTACCCACCAAGGAAGACTGCCGTGGGAGGCCTCCTAGCAATTCCCTGAGCAAGTTGAAATCTGTTGTTCTGAAGTCCAGAGTCTTTATTCTGCTACTTGTCTGTAGCATGAAGTCACATCTCTGAACAAGTCTTCCTTATTCGTAAGCAGTAGATTGAGAAAAGCACTGCTCCTAGTTGGCACATCCAGTGACTGCATTAGGAAATTGTCCTCGGCACACTCCAGAAACCTCCTAGATTGCTTGTGCTCTGCTGTGTTGCTTTCCCAGCAAATATCAGCATAGTTTAAGTTCCCTGTGAGAATCAGGACCTGCAGAGCGAAAGCTTCTCTGAATTGTCTGAAGAAGGTTTGTTTGCCTCTGCTTCCTGATGTCAATAGTAGACAGCTACCACAAGTTTTCCCTTGATGTGATCCCTCTGATTTTGACCCAAAGGCACTCAACAGGCCTCTTTTCTCATGTTGAAAGCTAAACTCCATGCACTCAAAATGTGGTTGTGTGTTTTTTTTTTTTTTTAATATGAAGCACAACCCCTCCTCCTCTTCTACCCCCTCTGTCTTTCCCGAACACCTTTTAGCTGTCTGTTGCAGTCATGCAAACTATCCCATCAAGTTTCTGTAAACCCAGTGATATCGTTACCTCTGCCACTGCACGAGGAGTTCTTTTTCTTTGTGTTTCTTTCCCAGACGGCAAGTGTTGAGGTACAGGCACTGGAGATGATCCATCATCTGCCCCTTCTCTTGGAGGGAAGTGTGAGAGCCTCCCCTGTTTTCCTATGCCACGTATGCTCATGCCTGCTTCAGGAAGTTGGCTGGTCTGTTGGCAAAAATGTCTTTACCGCTTTTTGATAAGTGGATCCCAGTAGCCCACAGTCTTTGAAGCCAAAACCCTACCAGCAGCAGCAGCAGCCACGCAGCCAGGCGTGGATCTGTGTGATATGCCTGCTTCTGCCTGTACCCTTCCATTTGACTATCAGAATCAAGGAGAAGACAGCCTGAGCACCTGTTGCCTTCACTTTAGCCCCAGTGCTCTGTACTCCTGGTTGACCTTTTCTAGGTCACAGGAGTAGGGGATAACGTTCCATGGGCTTGATGAATCTTGGAAGTCTGTTCTTGATATTCTGGATCTTGGTTCCAGGCAAGCAGCAAAATTCCTGTGGCTTAGTGGCAGTTTGCCAGTTTGGTGCCTTAGTCCTCTGCAGAAGGACACCCCTCCTCCAATGAATACTTACCAGTTCTTCTTGCTGCTGGTCTTGATCTGTTGAGCAGGAGCTGTTGGCTCAGTTATCTCTTCCAGTGAAACTTATTTGTCCTCTCCGTTTATTGCCAGGACTTTATACCTGTTCTTCATCTGATTTTTCTCCAGATGAGGGGAGAGCTGCTGTCCTGTTGCCACAAGTCATGAGCCTCCAGGGTGTCTTCTCCTGCAAGCTGCTGTCCTCCCTCTGAGTCATGCTTTTGGTCATCCTATTCTGTCTGCACCACAAAGCCTCAGCTCTTGCCCTTGCAGTACTGCTGCTAGCAATCTACCAATTTCCTGCCCACTTTTCCTGATGCAGCAGGACTTACTGACCTCGTCTCCTTCACCTGATGGCTCAGGGATTCAATCAGGGTCTGTCCCCCATGGTGAGGTTCCCATCCTTCTCAGCTTCAGGGAGGAGCACCACACAGTCACTGCACCCCATCACATGAACCAAACCCATCTCCCCTCAGGAGCTCCATCTGTGCTAATGCCCCTGAAATATTAGGGCACAGTGCTGTGGGCTGCTACAGGAGACCACATCCTGTGTCCTGTCACCACCATATGGCTTCCAGCTTTCTCGCCAGAACACAAACACCAATAGTGAACAGCAGCCCTTGCAGTCTCCTGAGCCTCTTGCATGTGAACTGCCTATGCTAGCTGTTAAGTCCTTGTTTGCAGCCACTTTTTCCAGCCCTCTGGGTCACTGTGGTCCCGCAGTGCCAGCTGAATAGCAAGTGGAAGCTGGGTGAATAATTTGTAGAAGTTTAATAGTGCTAATTTACCTCCTTACGCTTAATTCACTAGCACAGATTACCTACCAAAATTTTGTGAACAAGATTGCTCGGATGCCCTAATTTATTTCTTCATGCTTTCTGTTTTATTACATACTAACTTTCTTTTCTCTCTTTAAAAAGCGATAACTTTTCCTTCTGCTTCAGTCTGGCTGTGTTGCTGTATCCCATATATTGTTCTTTAGCCAGTCTCCATCTCTCAGTCCCTTTCTATTCCTACTTTATTGCAGATCCTTTACCCTCTCATCTACTGTGGTTCCTGATGAACTTGGGAAATCTGTGTCAAAGACGGGCATTAGCTGTTCCTGATGTATCTGCATGTTTGATCATGAGGCTGATATCTCTTCATCCTAACCCCCTCTGTATCCTACCTTTGATTGCTATTTTAAGCAGAGAAATCAATGAACTGAAAAGAGCTCTAAAATAAAAAAGAAAAAGCACTTCATGCTCCTTGAAGGCAAGAAAAAAGAAACTATTAGTAAAAACACTACATTTGGTTTTGCCAAAGTTACCTAACAAAGAAAAACACTTCTTTAGTGACTTTTAGGTTTAATGTAGGGGGAATATCTTTTAAACAAATGAGGGAGCTTCTATTTTGGGCACTTCTGGAAACCTATTTTACTGTGACTTGAATGTGTAATGTGAAATTCAGCTTGCTTAAATTAATGTACTGTTATGTATACTGTCCTTCTGCTTAAAGAATTAGTTAGGTAAGGGAATCACTTGATAATTAGCTTCTCTGATTATTCATGCCATGTGAGGGCCAAATTAGATAGTTAATAAAGGATCTGTATTATATACAAAATTTCAAGATTTTCTTTGTCTGTGATTGCAGACGACTTTTTTTTTTTTTAAAGGAAACAGGGATGGCACTCTGACTTTTGAATTAAATAGCACCTCTTTACCTTTCTTTCTCTCCAGGCTCTTGTGAAACATGTCCAGTCAAAAGGATACCCTAATGAACGCTTTGAACTTCTTACCAACTTCCCTCGAAGGAAACTCTCCCACCTGGACTATGAGATCACGTTACAGGAGGCAGGCCTGTGTCCTCAAGAGACTGTCTTTGTGCAGGAAAGAAATTAGCACTGTGGCCTGAGCTCTCCCAGCCTTTCTTCTCTCTCCTCTCTGCCTAGGACACCAACTAATTAAATATGCAGTTGAGGGTCATAGGATTGCAGTGCTGAAATCAGGCAGGCAGCTGGCTGGCCCTTCTCTCTCTTCTTCCCTTCTCCTCATCTAGTGACCAAATGAGAATGTTCAGAGTTTTGTTTTTTTCCTCAGCTTGGACCCTGGGGAGAGCATTGGGAAGAACATCTTTCTTTGGGAAGAATGCCTTTCCTTTGTTTTCATGGAATAAAATAAAAGAGTAATCTGTGCATCCAGTATGCTGGGGCTTGGAGTGGCCATAACGTACATCCCCATCTCGCTGCTATTCTTAAATCTGTTTTGTTTAATTTATTTTTTAAAATACTGTGTGATAAGGCACTGAGTCATCTCTCTGTAAGGGGAGAACGTACTCTTAGTCGAGTCTTACCTTTATTTTTATTCTCTGCATGAAGGGTCTCCATTAACCTTACAGCCTTCTTAAGGGATCACTTATCTAGCACTCTGCAGAAAATTTATTTTTGGGAAGGACTTGGGGTGAACTGTGTTAAGATGCTCTGCTCCCATCTAATTTAAAGGCTTCTAGATTGCATGCATATTTTCTTCCTGCTTTAAATGCTGCTAGTGAACACGGTGAAAAACAGGTGTATTCAATATGGGATTGACTGCTTGGCCCAGAAGGAAAGCTGCTTGTCTGCTGTTTAGCAGTTGACTGCTTTATGAGTAGATGGCATTTCAATTTGTTCTCTCCCCTACATCCCCTAAATGACTCCTCCTGTTTACTTTAAGGATTTTACAAATGATGATGGAAGGTGGCAGGATGTTGTAAAGATCTTCGAATCTCTGGAAAACACCTATCATAAAGTTAATAATTAGTTGGCTTTTTTGCCTTTTTTTTTTCCCCCAGAGGTGACTAGCCTTGCAGGGGTTTTAGAAACTGACTGTAGTTGGCTGGAGAGCAAGTTCTAAGCAGCGTTTCTTTTTTTAATTAAAAACATATACAAAGCCTTGACAGATTGTAGAATGAGTTAGTGCTCTATGAAGGATTTCCTAGTCAGGTGGCTTGAACCCTTAAGATGCTTTTTACTCTATTTTCAACTGTATCTATAATGAATTACCTTTAAATCTGGCAGGTTTTATTGAAAGCAGCAATTAGTTTCCCTATTTGATTCAGATTTTCTTTTCACCTATGGAAGCTGGCAATAGAAGTCCTGCAGGCATATCCTGTGTGTACAGCGGACAGTGCTGACTGCCCTAGTTTCCCAAGCTATTTTATCTTGATGTAGGGTTGTTGGTATATTATAGCAGATATTAGAGTTAGATAAAAGTTCATTAACGCGGCCATCCTCAAGACTAATGTGGAAGCAGAGTGTTTATTTACAATTAAACTCAGTCTAGTATGCTCTTCAGCAGTGAAGAAAAAGGTGTGTAAGGCCTACCATAAGTGTAACTTTTTCCCTGGACAAACAGGGAGGAGTTACAACAAGAAGTATTAGGCTCTCTCTGCTAGTGAGCTCCACGCAGCATGTCAGGGAGCGCTGGCTTCATGACATGACATTGTTAAATCGTTAAATCGCTATATTTGTTAAAGAAAAAGACTTAGTGATCAAAAACTTACTATAGGATAAAACTTTTCCAGATATTTTACCTTAAATTTCATACTCACCTGCATGTTTTGGAGTCTTTATATATAGGAAATCATGGAGTACAGAGAACAGTTCCTATGATAGTATTAGCTCGCAGCTGTCCTCTACCCCATAACTGAAGTTTTACATAGAATCATAAAATTGTATAAATTAATTTCCCTTCTATGTGAAAACTGTTTTGCGTTCCACTGCATGTTACAGAATGACAAAAGCAAAATATGATGGCAGCTTCCTGATCAGTGAGTGATGTGAAATCAGATGTCATTTTTGGACTGTAAAGAGATCCTTCAATGGAGGCTGCTTCCCAGCACTAGAAAGTAAGTGAATTGCAAGGCCAGTGGAAGAAGGGGAATGCTATTAGTTGGCCTGTGAAGTGGCAATGGCACTTCTAGACTGAAGGACCCTTTGTGTTTCTGGGGTATCCAGATTCATAACTGGGTCGTATGAGAGAGCAGGACAGAAGGAAACCCCTTCTGATTCCACTGTGTGGATCTATAACTTTGGATAGATGCAGGTTTTTATTCACTCTTGGAACATTTTTCATATTAACTTTTCTAGCAGTGAAGTTAAACATGCAATATTTTCTCTGATCATTCGGTCCCATTCCTGTGTGTGTTTTATTGGTAGCTTCTGTTTCCCCTCTTCCTCTCCCCAGTTGTACTAATGTGTAGCAGGAGCTAGGCTGTGAGCTGATGAAGTGATCAGATGTAAAATAACTAAGAGCTGTATCAGTAGTGCAGAAGAGGGCAGGCCGCACTGCAGGCAAGAGGATGAACTTCTTGCATCAATTCTGCTGTGCACCGTTTAGAGCATGGTCCCATATTGGGAACCTTCCTTTCCTAAACTCTTTTTCAGAGCTAAAAATATGTGACCTGTGAGGCAGCAGGCAGCTGCCAAAGCTCCTTCCCCTCCCTTCTGCTCAGCTCTAAGAAAAGGAATAATCTTACAGTGGTCATCTTGTGATCAAATGCAAAATTGGGAGCCCTGGGGTAGCTTTTTATTGCTTTGGTTATGCAAGAGCAGCTCGGTCACCTTGCACAAGGAAGTAAAGTTGTATGTTGAAGCGCTGCAGCAAGTTGTTTATTAATCCATCAAAAATATGCCTCTCTAACATGGTAAATGTTTTTGGCTGCTAGTGTAGTGGAACTAGGAGTTCTTATGGTCTCACTTGCCTTTTTTAGGAAAATGAAAACAGTCCTTTCATTTCTTAAATTTTTATTTAGAGAATATTAATCTCTTTACAACCTGAGAGGGAAATAAGAATGTCAACTGGAAGATCTACACTGAAAATGGCATATTTATTCTGTCTCATGGAAAAAATCCAAATGAATTTTTAGCAGTTCCAGGTACTTAAGGTTTTTTTTTTTTTTCCCCTAGAAATGCTGAGCCTGGATTTTGTTTTGTTGGCGTGCTGTGTTTTCTTTCTTTTTTCTTTTGCTTTGTTTTGCCATCAGGAGGCAGAGAACAATTTTAAAAAGGGGAAAGTGTCCCTGCATGTTACTCTTCTCCCCCTTCGTTCCTCTCCCCTTTTCCTCCATCCCCAATAAAAACAATGCTATAGCACATGCATCAGCCAGCTGTGTTGTGGAGGCTGAAAAGTATTAAGAGACAGCACCAGCCTCTTCAGATTTTTCATCCATGTTGAAGCCCTTTCAGCTTTGGCGGAACATGTTTTGCAGGCCTGAGGGATGCAGCTGAAAACATTAACCAGTTATACATGCAGCTGCTTCTAAGTGTTAAAGGTATAAGCTAGTCCAGCTCTATTTAAAAAGAACCTTTGTCACAATTGCTTTTAAATATTAAATATGAAGTACAAACTACTTTGGAAAATGTTGGAAAAACACCTTAAACCGCTAATTGCAAAAGAAGGTGAAATTTGAAGTGCATAGCAAGTAATCCCTCAAAGGCTGTGTTTTGTAGCTTCCTATGAATGTTGTTCAGCCTTCATTTGCATGCTGTTTTGCAAGAACTGTCATGAATTCAGTGGAGCAGAGATGCTTTTAAACAGTGTAAGCCACTACCTTTGTGGGTAGAGAACTAAATAGAACTAATGTGCTTTTCAAGGTCTTGCTTCTTGCTAGTTTTAGAGGAAATTTTCTTTGCGTGTGCCCGTCATCTAACTTGTTTTTATTCTGGTAGCATTAGTTACTCGTGTAATATCTAACTCTGGCTAATAAATTGTCACAGTCACAACCAACATTCAGAAACAGAATGCAAAATGAACAGTGGCTTTCTCGGCTAGGTGCTGCCAGCCCATTTATTGCTGGATTCCCACTCTCAGTCCTTCCAGGACCCAGAGAAGGATCTCAGCTTTCCTATTTCCTGATAATCACATGCTCTAGGTCAAGCTGACTGACCGGCTTCAACCTTAAAACATTCTCTGCTGGCATAAATAGAGCAGATAGAGGCTGGCTCAAAAGTTTCGGGGTGTACTTGCATTACTTGCAGTGAGTTTTGAATTAAGGTTTGAGATTTTACACTTCTGACCTTTATGTACTGAAGTGTATTGTCTTTCTTGATAAATCAGGTAAGGTGACAGCTTAAATGTTAAAAGGATGTGTGTATACGTGCGTATAATGGCTTGCAAGTTCTAGTTTTCTATAAAGGTGTCCAAAGATCACATTTTTCATAAGTGGGTTTAATCAGCAATTCAGGTTATGTCTCAGCGTATTTTCTGGAAATCACTAGGTCTGCTACCTTATTATTACAGAAGAACAGCACACCTGTTCTGTAAAGTAAGTCCATTGTTAACTGCTGCAAATAGCTTGCATGTTCTGTATTCAGTTACTGTCATAGACACAAATTTTAAAGAATACCAAATTAAATAGCTGTCAGATTAAACACAAGGTCATACCAACTTATGCTGACGCTGTGGTTTGTATGCTTGCTACAGTCAGAAAGAGACAGCTGTTTTTAGTGCATGTTTTAATAAATAAACCTCGGGGGCCTGGCTTCTCTAACATGCTTTTAAGAAAACTTCCATATAATTGTGTGCTTGCTGTTTGATACACCTCCTGACTATTGAAAAAAAAATTTTGTTAAGCATCCTTTGAGATCTTCATAACTTCAACTGAAGAAGTTAATTCTGCATATGATGGCTTATGCAGTAGCTCTCTGAAGAGCAAGCCTTGTCTTTGGGCTGTAGTTCTTTGAACCCAGCTGCTTGACGCTGCCCTGTGACGGAGGGCACGATGCATCATTTGCAGTCTATGTGGGCAGCTAGTTATGGCCAGTTCTGAGCACATACTCCCTGTCCCTGGTAGGTGAGCCTCTGATTCCTTGCTTTTTTGAGATTGTTTTTAGGGCGGGAGCACACTGCTCAAGAACTCAAGAGCAGCAAGGGTTAAACTAAAATCCCGTTTTCTTTTGGGAGCAGGGAGGGACAGTGAAACGTCCCTTGGCCTGCATTTCACTGCAAAGATACATAGAATGGGTGGCTCTCTCTAAAAGCACGCAAAGAAAGGGATAACCTAGAACCCTATGTAAGAATGTCCTTGTGAATGGGAAGACGGATGTCCTTTCAGGAACTTTAAGGGAGAGGTTGTTGCTATATTTTACCCCTTCATTTGAAATCAGCTTTTGGGTTTTTTCAGTTAGTTTTTAGAAAACTTTCACTACTTCTTGTTTAATCCCTTTTGTATCAAGTTAATAATAAATAGGTAGTACTGTATGGCAAGACAGGGAGGGACTGTACAGATGTACCTCTGGTAGGTGAAGTGCTGAGCCTCAGTCTCATAGAGATTGGATGTGCCTTGTCTGCTGGCTATTTTAAAAGATCTGAACACATTCCCCCGGCTGCCACCCCCCCCATGTTTTGTTTTTTTTTTCCAGAAATGATTTCTTCTAAATGGAAAAACTGCTGCTTTAAAGGCAAAACAAAACTAAATACTAGGGCATGTTTTGATCCCTATATTGGCCATCTTTATTACTGGAAAATCCCTTAATCACATGTTTTGGGTTAATATAAAATTTTTTTGATCCCTGGCTGTTGAGGCCTGTGCATGCTGTTGCTTATTGTTCTGTAAAGATCATCTTGTAAAGATTTTCTGAGTGCAAGATCTTACCGTAGTTTGGTTATATTCTGCTATCTGCTCCTGAACTGTGAGGTTAATGGATACGTGTTCTGTGATGTTGTACAAGATGACCTTTATTCCGGTCTCTTCCTGGCTGTGAGATGCTCAGTGTCTATCCACTCCCAATAAATATAGCCATACACACACACACACACACACACACACACACACACACACACAGATATATTTTTAATCAGAAAATGTGGCACTTAACATCAGTGTCTCAGATTGCCTCAGTAAAATTTTTTTGTACATCACTATATTACCGGTAACGGCAGAAGTTCTGGATTTGGTCCCTGTCATTAAATACTATGCGTGTCTACAGTACAGAGAAGAGCAATTCTGTAACTGATTGTTTAATGGTGCTGAGACTTTAAGATATAGAAGGATAGATAGTAAAAGTACATGGAGGAAGGCGATGAGGTGCTATTTTATAGAACAGCTTTATGTGAAGAAAATGTGGGTAAAACTCAACTCAGCAGTGTGGTGCCTAATCAGAGGCCCCAGACTATAGAATAGATAATTTTTTTAAATGAGTCTGTTTCCTCTGTTTGGTGAACTTACAGTTTCAGAATTACGACTTTGCCTGTCAATTTTTACAACAATGACTTTTTCCTTCAATGATGCAACTTAATGTGGGAGGAGGGAGAGAATTAAGCTGGAAGATTTCAGCTCACTGTGCTGGGAGGGACCAAACTCAAGGAAGCCTCTGATCTGTATACACAACTGCTGCATTTTTTATAAATATATGTAAATGTCCTATTGTAATATTTGATCCTGGAAATAAAACAAACTGTTTTCAGTAGTTTTCTTCATCTCTTGTTTTCTTTTTGTTTATTTGTTTTGTTTCTAATGAGAGTCTGTGTTCCTGCGTTATGTGGAGGGTTTCTAAGTTTTTCCTCAAGTTTATGGGGTAGAAGAAGGAAAATCAAGACCAAGTTGCCTATTTGTGTGTATCTGACTTTTTAGTGAAATTATCAAGTTAGGTACTTTTATTTTTCCTTTGCTAATGGTCTAAATCTTGACTTGACAGAATAAGTCACAGTGCGGTACCATCAGTTGAACCTCTGGAATAATACCCTAGAGGCAGGGCTGTTCCTGTTTTCTTTGCTTCCGCATGGAAGAACATAGAATATAGCTTTCTATTCTGAAGCCTAAATGGCTTATCCAGAGAGCTGAGCGTATTCTGCTTGCTTACTTGAGAAGGCAGGAGGGATCCAGCTCTGCATGCTTTTCATTATTTGGTGTTTACCAAGCACACTACCTTATTTCTATGCCGGGAATGTACTCCCTTCTGGACACGTATTCAGCAGGTACAGTGAAGTAATTAACTGCTACTTGGGGAAAAAGCTTAAGACTATGATCCGAAGTTCTCCTCATGCTCCTGACGTTGAGGTTTTATTTAGCATGACTGTCGACAGTCACTCTATTCTATATTTTGGAGAGTTCAAACAGGGAAAGACTAGGACAATATTGTTTTAATGGAGGTCTGCTTATATTCTGCCCTCATTAAAGCGGTGCTCATAACTCATTTCCAAAATGTAGTTGTGAGGAATGCAAAAGCCCTTGGTGCTTAACTTGCTGTGGTGTATCTAAAACCAAAACTTTTAAATGGGAGGTCTTCCAAGTTATGTAATGAATCCTTTCTGGGAGACAGTAACCTAAAATAGAGCCTGGGAGAAAGAGCTGTTTCTGTAGCCAGCTTTTCAGTGGTGTCCTGCAAGTGAGTTTCTCTGCATGTCCTTCATTTTCAGCACATGCACCTCTTGCATCACTATGTTAAGACACTGACAATTCCAGTTCCTGTGAGGAAGATTCATTTGCCCACCTCTCAAGTCTGGAAATCAACATGATTTCAAATTGTTTCCAGTCTGGCTTAGAAAAAGATTTCCCATTCTAGCTGAGTCAGAAATACTCACCATTTTCATCACAGTCTGTAGGTCAAGAAACTACTACAAAATAGACTCATAAGATCTCTGTCTCTCTTCCTCCCTGCCCTGGAGACTCCAGCTTTTAACTGGGTTGGTTTATCTCATCTGAAATAATAATTTTAGGTGAAATTTGTAAGAAAGTTAAAGCAAATACAATATTCCTTAGCAGTGCAATGTTGGTATTTCTTAAATCTGACTTCTAGGCGCAAACTCTGCACAGCGTTTGTCTAGAGGGATAACCTCTAGCTACCTCCCCTATGTTTGGAAACATTCTAGCTACGGACTGTGGTAGAAATAAACTTGCAGGAACTATTCAAGAACTGTGAGAAAGACCTTTGAATCATACTGAGCGTCCTTTGGATGGCAGCAAGGTGACATTTGGTTTGGAACAGCATGAATTTAGC